CAATTATGAGGTCTAATCGATCGTAGAAACGTTTTTAGGCTAAACATTCCTCTCCAAACCTTGTTTTCCTCCATATGTCTATCCCACAACCCACAGGAGAACTTCAGAATCATCTCTCTGATTCCTGTTCTTGAACCTTACTTGTCATATTTATCATTGATTTTGATTCTTCTTCCCCTCAAATAGCAGCTGAATCACTCATCCATTACCTTACTTAGGTTCATCCTAGAGAATGAACCATTGCCAGTGACTCCTGCTTCCTTTGCTCTCCCTTCTCCATCCTATCCTTAATATTGTTACTGGAGCAAACCGTCATTGGCTTTCTGTTGCCTAAATAGTCATGAGATACACGTACCACTATTTCCCTTTCCACAGACAAATTTATCAAGAAGACATTAGGGGCTCAATCTCAAAATACTTCAGAAAGAATCCATAAGTTACCCAATGCCAAATATGCAAAACTGACATATCAACTGTACTGCATCTACTACCTGTAGGTAAGATTCAAATTTCTTAGGAAGGTTTCATTATCCAGCCTAACCAAACTTTTATCAGTCTCCTCACAATTTGTATTCCTGCCTTAATGAATTTCCTGTCTTCCTGCAATAAAGAGTATTATCTCTCATTTTATGATTGGGTATCTGTTGTATCTTCCTGACATAACTTCCTCACTCATTTCTCTGTCTCTGAAACTCCTTTTCAGACTTCAAAATCCATCTGAAAAGTCAGTTCCACGTCTCTAGATAGGGTGTTAGCTCCTCTCTTGCTACTTCCTTTGCATTTATTTGTCTCACTGTATTTTAAGTAGCTTTCTGTAAACAGCAAATATCTCGTTCACATTTGCATTAGGTTTTTAAAACATTAAAAAAGGGGCCAGGCGCGGTGGCTCAAGCCTGTAATCCCAGCACTTTGGGAGGCCGAGGTGGGTGGATCACGAGGTCAAGAGATTGAGACCATCCTGGTCAACATTGTGAAACCCCGTCTCTACTAAAAATACAAAAAATTAGCTGGGCATGGTGGTGCGTGCCTGTAATCCCAGCTACTCAGGAGGCTGAGGCAGGAGAATCGCCTGAACCCAGGAGGCGGAGGTTGTGGTGAGCCGATATCGCGCCATTGCACTCCAGCCTGGGTAACAAGAGCGAAATTCCGTCTCAAAAAATAAATAAATAAATAAATAAAATAAAATAGGAAAAATAAATGAAATAAAAGTAAAATTTTAACATGCAAGAATATAAAGCCCTATGTAGGTTATTTTGGGATGGTTCACATATATTCTGTATTAAAATATTATTACTTGTTTCATACAGGATTATTCTTTTTTTTTCCTTAAATAAGATACCAAAAATATAACACTACTGATAAGGAGACAATTTCATTCTTGGTAAATAAAAATCTATAAACTATGATACAAAATGACTCCATCTGTTTTCTCTTAGGTCTTTTTCCAACAAAACTTTGTATATAGCAACTGCACCTAACAATCTAAATTACTAAATTAGGATGAGACATCCAAAACGTAGAAATGTTCTCCCTACTGATAAAAGTAATCATCTGGTATTTGTAATTTTTTGCATAAAGAAAAAAATACACAAATGACCAAGAAAATGTGGACTGTTCACAAAGTAGTAGTAGTCTGTCAAATGAAACTAGAATCGGAAATTATAGAAAAATAACTTCAATTTTTTTTTTTTTTTTTGAGAGTGGCTCACTCTCTTGCCCACATTGGGGTGTAGTGTGTGATCACAGCTCACTGTAGCCTTGACCTCCCAGGGTCAAGTGATCCTCCTACGTCAGCCTCCCAAGTAGCTAGAAGCAGAGATTTATGCTGTAACTCACATCTGGCTACTTTTAAAATTTTTTATAGAGACAGGGTTCTCTCTACTGTTGCCCAGGCTGGTCTCAAACTCCTAGGCTCAAGTGATCCTCCTGCCTCAGCCTGCCAAAGTGCTGGGATACAGGCATGAACCTCTGTGCCTGTACTTCTTTTAAAGTTCTACTGATAATATTAATGAGTCCACCATTTTAAAAGAATTTTTCTCTTTGTAACAGATATGTCTAAAATAAAAACACAGGAGAAACAAGCAACAAATAATGACTACTGGCATAAAGAGAATAGGGATTTTTAATTCTCTTATGTATCACTGCTAAGATCTATATGAAAAAAAATCATTCTGCTTGTAAAATTTCTTTGAATCCTAAATCTCGGCTTGATGTCAATGAAACGTTGGAGAATTCCTGCCATACAATAAAATGATGATCTCAACACAGTTTTTCATCCTTCTGCTCGGTATTCCTGATGTGTTTCAATAAACTCACCACTTTAGATAAAGTATACTGCTAAAATGCTACACCGTGGATTGAAATAAGTGAGGAAAAAAACCAAGAGTTAAACACTTATCTGCAACAAATGCTTTCAGTTTCTATCCATTTGCTTTAAATGTTAACATATTTTGCTTCCTGAACATCTTTAAATAATAAGTTGAGAGTACATACAACTTTGCTCTTACTTGTTAATACGGAGTAGATATGCCTATAAACATATTCACAAATACTTCATTTTTGCACCAAAGACCCCTCTTATGTACAGAAAGCATTAATCTCTTGCCATATTAAAGCTTGAGGGCAAAAACTGAGTTGTGGAAAAATATAAAAAAATTTGAGAATGTTTACTCAAATACAGGTATTTCCAATTCCAATCTATGAGACAAACTAGAGCAAAGCAAGTAGTTCTCACAGTAGTTTCTTAATTTTGAAACCATAAAGCATACAGGCAACTAAATAAATGTAAGCAAGAAATGGGCTGCAGATATGCCCAATTTCATGTATGTATCCAAGTATATGTAATCAAGGGTAGAAGAAATAAAAATGTTGAAAAACGATACATAGGAAGAAGACAGTGTTGTTCAATGAGTTTCAAAAAGGTATCTTTTAGTTGTCCTGCAATATAAATGAGATTTATAGTCTTTTTCTTTTCAACTTCATTTCCTTCATTTTCATGAAACCTTGAAAAACATTGCCTTTTTATTGTAAGTTACACAATTTAATGGGTTCAAAAAATTAACTGTAGAAAAATTAAGTATTTTCAATGTTAACAGTTCAAGTTTTAGAATTCTGATAAATTTCATTAGATTTTTTTTTTCATGGTCATCTAAACCTTTGTCAAAAGCTAGGTGTATTAGTTCTCAGACTGCTAATAAAGACATACATGACCCTGGGTAATTTATAAGGAAAAAAAGGTTTAATGGACTCACAGGTCCACATGGCTGGGGAGGCCTCACAATCATGGCAGAAGGCAAAAGGCACAATTTACAGGGCAGCAGGCAAGATAGAGCATGTGCAGAGGAATGCCCTTTTATAATACCATCAGATCTCGTGAGACTATCATGAGAACAGCACAGGAACAGCACATCCATAATTCAATTATGTCCACTAGGTCCCTCCCATGACACATGGGGATTATTGCAATTCAAGGTGAGATTTGGGTGGGGACACAGAGCCAAACCGTATCACTAAGGAATCATCCAATATATATGTATTAATGCATATTATCTGTGGCCACCAAAGTCCTGAAGAAGAAAGACGGGAAACACAGAGAGGAATAAACCAACCTAGCCTTTTGTGATTACCGGATGCTTAATGTGTGCTATCTCATTTTCTTCAGAAAGAAATGCCATGTGGTTAGTATTGTTAATGCTGATTTTACAAAACAGGAAGTCTTTGAGCTTCTTGAGAATTCCAAGTGCTTTAAACATTTCCCATCCCTTTTCCCTATCATACAGTAATTAGTATACACCATCACTTGATGCAGTGCTTAAAACACAGTAAGCAAATAAAACAGGATGCCTAAATAAACTGAAGTTGTCTCTGCTGGCAGATTTTTTAAAAAGGCACTGTTATGACCCAATAAAATAATAAAATCCAAAAACTTCAATGTTGTTAAAAATATAGTATTTTTCATCTACATTAAAAAGAATAGGCATGACTAACATTCATTCATGAAATATATGTCACAGACCATAATCAAGTACTGTACATAAACTTATGTACTTGCATGATCAATAGACCATGAGAAAGAAAACTGAATTCTAATTCTAGCTCAAGTGGGCTTCCCTAACATAGGCTCTAGGTTTCCTATATATAAAATGAAGTTTGGCCTAGAGGAACCCTAAGATACTTAAAGGTTTACAGCTTTGGTTATATACTGTACTGGAGAATTTGGCTTAGACTCCTTCATTTGCATATGAATCGTAGTAACCAGGATACTATCAAATTTTATAAAGATTACTAGAGGCATACTTTGAATTCTCAAAATGACTCAGTATGTTCAAGCACCACTATGAACTTAAATTTCAAACATTTTCATAAGACTCACACAAAGATCTACATTTGCCCAAAATAGAATGCCCAAACTAATTTTATCTTATTCTAAGAATATTCAGATTAGATGCTTGAACCTTACCTTTTTCTTATTCTGCTACATTCTTGATCCTTCTAACTTCAAATCATAAATTATACTGTAAGATCTGATTCACAACATATATTCTGATTTAGTCTGGCATGTTCCAAAATGGCACGTCAAACCACCCTAAATCTCCTCCTTCTGACATACCATTTACTTAAGGGGACCAATATGATGATATTAAGTTGCTATTAATACCATAAGGCACTTTTTCTTCCCATTAAGATGCTATAGGGGAAATATTTTATTACTTTCACAAAAAAAATCTAGTCAGAGATCATCAATGTAGAGTTAAAACTAAGACTTTGAAATTCAACAGTTAATAAAAAAGTAAATTATGATCTGTTAATGATACTTAATAGCAACAAATTATACTGTAATAGGAAATAATTAGCATAAAAATAAAAAATAGTCATATAGTACAGCTTAAAATTTAATGTCTTTTAAAAGTCTTGATATTTACTGCCAGGAACAAATGTCAACTTAATAACATTAGCTTTGTCTTGCCCTTTTCAATTCATCAGTATTTTAAAAAGGATACTCAGTACCAGAATAATGTGTGACTCTGCCACAAACTGAGCCTGGCTGCTCCCATGAATGTAGCTCTATTAAGAAAGACAAAAAAACAAAAATTACAATTTGAGAAAGCCACATAATTGTTTTAAAGTTTTATGTCATGAAGATAAACAATGGAAAAATCTAATTAGATTTCTACTAATTCAACTTTTATTACTTTCTACTAATTAAGTCTCTATTAATAATTATTTTAAATAGTTAAATGCAAATAGATGACAATATTGGTTGATGATACTGTAAACTGTAGGCAGCAACTTAGTTATCAAAAATTAAGTTGTTAAAGGATTTATCACAAACATTCACACATCAAATATAATGATCCCTATAGAGTTATTGCAAAATTACAATTAAAAGCATAAGATACAAATTAGAGCAAAACATTTTTATGATTTTTCATCCTTTAAAATACGTTAGAAATGATCAAATATCACTACTTTCTACATTATCAAAGTTTTTAAAACAAGGAGTCAGCTTTATACATGTACACATTTCACTATAGCATTTAAATTTTTTCAAAACATAATTTTTAAAATTGTTTTTACCCTATTAAGTACATAGTTCATACCAGTTGACTATGGAAAATCTAACATAAATCTCCATTTAGATTATTTGGCTTCAAAATTGATTCCCATGACTATTTCTGCTGTTAGTCTCTCTTATGAATGTCAGTTCCTATGCAGTCGTTTTAAATAAATATCCTTGCCTTGGTTTTCTGTTTATAAAAAAAATACTGGAGAAAAAAATCTAACACCTAAATTAAATCAGTGCCTCAACTTTTATATCATTTATGATACATAACTGTATCATATGATTCAGATAGTTTTCTCAAGGTATCTTTTTTTTTCTTCCATCTTGTTCAGGGGGTACATGTGCAGATTTGTTACATGGGTAAATTGCATGTTGCTAACGTTTGGTGTACAAATGATTTTGTCACCCAGGTAGTGAGCAAAGTACCTGACAGTTCTCCAATCCTCAGTTTCATCCTACGCTCCAACCTCAAGTAAGCCCCAAGGTCTACTGTTCCCCTCACTGTCTATGTGTACTCAATGTTTAGCTCCCACTTACAAGTGAGAAAATGTGGTATTTGATTTTCTGTTACTGCAGTAATCAGCTTAGCATAATGCCCTCCAGTTGCACCCATGTTGCTACAAAGGACATGATTTCATTTTTATGGCTGTGTAGTATTCCATGGTGAATATGTACCACATTTTCTTTATCCAGCCCACTTTGATTAACAATCATATAAAGTAGTTATTACCTGTCATCTTCCAAATGAGGAAACTGAGACTTACAGAAATTTAACTAACTTGTTCAAGATTGTATAACTAGTAATTGGTGAAGTCTGGACTGAAACCTAGGACTGTTCATATAGGTATGCATGCCCTTTCCACCATATAAAAACAAACCAAAACACAGGAGGAACCTCAAGTAAAACTGTAAAAACTTTACTTGGCAATCAGATAATTAAATGTTAACAGTTAAAGTAATAAAAACCAATATTATGTAACTAACATATCTGAGTTTAATAGTACAGGAATAATATGCCCAAATTTATATAACAACTGCAAGGTAGTTTGTCTCCATGAGAATCACAAATTTAGAGAATAACTTCAGACATCTTCTAGGTAAGTGGTTTATAAAACCTTTTCTATTTGCTTTCAGTAACAGAACCTTCTCTGATCAATCTTTTCTCAAGGTCATCAATGGAATTCCCCATTACAAAATTCTATGGTCATATCTCAATCTTATTGGACTTAATCTGCCTGAAAAATCTGCCACACCTGACCACTCTCTTTTTGTAATGTTTGCTTCATTTGACTTGCAGGATCCCAACCTTGAGGATGATCCTACCTCATTAGGTCTTCCTCCTCAGAGAGGAGGCGGCTGTTCCCTTACTACCTTCCAGACTCTGGAGCATGTCAGCGCTCCACAGGCATAGGCGTCTTCCCACTACTCAGCCTTCTCAGGTGTTCTGATCCAATCTCATGGTTTTAATATCATGTCTGTATCTAGTCTGATATATTAGAAATCTAAAAACGGCTAAAATGAAATTCCTGATATGCCTCCATTTCTCTCCCAGCTTCTCTCCCATTCTCCTCTAACTCAGGAGAAGGTAATTTAAATTTTCCAGTTGTTTAGGCAAAAATCCTGGAATTACCTTTGTGTCTCTGCCCTTAATTTTCTTTCACCCTTTTCCTCGCCTTATTCTCTCCTTCCTCCCTCGCTCCCTCTCCACAAAGCCAATCATTCAGGAAATACTGTTGGCTCTACTTTTGAAATTCATTTCAAATTCAACTGCTTTTCACCATTCCCAGGAAGAACTAGCAGAGGAGCCTAAAAAATAAGGTCCAAAGATTTCTGGTCCAACCAGTCATCATCTCTTGCCTAGACTACTGCAATAGCCTCCTTTATTCTCCACGCCTCTACCCTAGAGCTGATTTGTTATTCAGATAAGTACTGTCAAAACTATCCCATCATTACCTTGCTCAGAACCCTTCAATGCTTTCTCAAATGTGTGAAAAACACTGTATCGTGCAATGTCTTTTGTGTTTCCAGGCACAGTAACAAGAAACCTACATACTTCTTTTCATTTTAAAAATACAGCTAAGTTTAAAAAAAAAAAATCACACTTTGTCCTTAGAGACTTATTTCAAGAAACTGATCTGTAACACTTGTACCGTATTTCTTGTATACATAAGGCAGGAGAGAGGAAAGGCTTTGGACATAGTCCTGAATTTGCCACCTACTAGCTATGTTATTCTAAACAAACTACTTAACCTCATTTATCTTTAAAATAGGACTAGGAGAATATTCCTCAAGATATTTTCCTAAAAATCAAATAAGAGAGTATGAAACACAATAGTGTAATTGATCAAAAGTAATCAAACATAAATCATTTTGTAGTCTCCACTGCAAACTTTGTATCTTCACCAAAAGGCTGAGAAGCTGTTTTTATCTTCTAAACAAATAGCATTCAGGAATTCTTTCTTTTTTATAAATGAATTTAGTGTGTTGAACTGATATTTTAAAAGATAATATTCAGGAATGTATACTAACATTTGACTTTTGTACATCTTTTTTATTTTTTTGGCTTCAAAGTCACATCAAGACCAGATATTCTAAGAGCCTTCAGGGTTTAATCTTGAATTTTTTTGCAATTTTTAATTGATCAATTAGTATGTATCAGGCACCAACTCAAGCAACAGAAATCCAACAGTTATAGGAAAAAATATCTATGTTCTCAAGGAGCTTACAGACACAAACTACACAAACACATTTTGTCTACTAATGTGGAACAAAGAGATTACTGGCACACATCAAAAGCTGTGAAGAGTGAGCACAAGAATAAGAATGAGTAAGTATTGCAGGGATCTTAAGCACTGACCTTAGATAGTTAGCTTTCATTTATGGGCCCTTAAAGCAATAACTTCTCTAAGGTCTACAATTTTAAGCTGGTCTTAAAAATTTTTATTTAACAGAAGCATATACTTTCAAAATCCTTTGAAAAAGGGAATATTGAGTAATGAATTCCCTTAAAGTTAAATCATGATGTTCATTTATTTTCCTCTCAGATTTTTTTACTAATTCTCATGAGTGAGGGAAATATCAACAACTCAGGATAATTTATTCCAAAATATGTATTTAACTTGTATTTATAAGAGCAGTGCCATTTTCGGATCAGATGAATAGTCAAGAAAAAAATGTGTGCAGTTTTAAGGATACGAATCAATTCTTTCATAGGAACAAATGTTTTGACAAGCCATTAATATAAGTGTTTTTTACTTGTCTAGTCCATTGAATATTTCTTTTTTTGAGGCAAAGTTTCACTCTTGTTGCCCAAGCTCAATAGCCGTGGCATGATCTCTGAGCATTAAAACCTTCACCTCACAGGTTCAAGCCATTCTCCTGCCTCAGCCTCCTGAGTAGCTGGGATTACAGGTGTGCACCACCATATCCAGCTAATTTTTATATTCTTAGTAGAGATGGGGTTTCCACATGTTAGCCACGTTGGTCTCAAACTCTTCACCTCAGGTGATGCTCACTTCAGCCTCCCAAAGTACTGGGATTTCAGGTGTGAGCTACCATGCCTAGCCCCACTGAATATTTCATAGAACATATGTGAACCAACATAAAATAAAAAGAATGGTTCATAAAAATAAGTTCATAAGACAGTTAAGTTACCATGACTTGTGACCTACTTAAAGCCCAATTTTATGAAGAAATATTAGATGAAGTTTGCATATCATAATATGAAAAAATAATATATATGAATGATACTATGTTCTTAATTTCAAGTAACATTTGAAAAAAAATATTTTGCTTGATATAGTAGTTCTATAACTCTTATGCAGCAATATCAAGAATGAATGAAAATAAAATGGAAACGAAGCTAAATATACTATATATCAGCATGTGAAATAAACCTGATTCCACTTAAGTTATTCCTAAATTCTTGGGAAGATGACACCAGTCAGTATGTTCTGCTTTTTCAATGTTATTTTAAAATTGTGCTAGTAGTAAATACTCCTTAAAGAGTCCTTTTAAACACTTACTGCTCTGAAAATAAGAATGGCTAGGTTGTACCAACAGGTTGTTACTTGAGAAGGCAGCTGTGGTAACAAAAAAACAAACAGAACTTAGAAGTCAGTTTCCACCATTCAATTTAAAAAAGTAGGTGTTACTTCATCATTTCAGTAATTTGGGCCTCAGTTTCCTTATCTGCAAATTGGAAATTGACTACATAAAGGTAACAGTATAGTATTATAATAGTTTATAAAGTGGATTTTAGTCAAATTTCCTTAAGTAATTTCTCAATCCTAGGTTTATCACAAGTGAGACCTTGAACAAATATTATTCTAAACTTCAGATTGTTAAGCTCTTTGATCGAAATAATAAAATGTGAGAAGTGAATTGATAATACATGTAAAATAGCCTAATGCCTGAAACACACCAATAAGTCAATAAATGTAATCTATCATCATCATCATTATCTAAGATTCAAACAAGATTCCAAATTTTAATGTCTTAA